TTCTGACATAATGACTGACTAACGCAATGTGTAGTACGGTCAGGGTATTTCTAGAGTTGTTAAGGCATAACCCTGTGTGTCTTACTGCCCGACTACATTTTATGAGTTCGTATTAAGGCTATGGGTTTTGAAATGCAGCCAAATCAGATTAGATCAATGTTAATCAGGGTACCTACATTCATTTATTTCAATTAGGCCTATCTTTAATCCAATGTTCCACATTCTCAATCGAATCTTCGCCACAAATCCGTCCAAACTGATCCATTATCTCTCTTAAAATTTTCACCTAGGGTTTTGAGACCACTAAAACCACTAGTACTTGTAACCAAACCAAAATAATTAGGCATTGGCTCTCTGAATTCTAAAATATTAAAACACAATTTTGTCTTCAAGTTCAACTCATGAACATTCATACTTTTAATAGACTACCTTAATTCGTTCTTTCTGAGGCTGAAGCGCCCGTTGTAAGCTCTTCCTGTTTGTGGCAGTGTTTGCCTCAAACCTATACGACGTAGCTAAGCTCATTTTTCTGTCAAATTCTGTCGATTAGGCCCCCTATCTGTAAATTATCGATATATCTGAGGAAAAATTCCAACTCGACGATGCGCTGGACCGGAACACAGCTGACAGATGATTCGCTGGTGCGTTGAACATAAACCATTTCCCCAATGAAACCGCTTACTTTGTGTCAGGGTACCAGTTGTAAGGGTACGCACACAGTTGTTGCTAGGTTACGGTTGACCTACTTTTTGTACCCCGGCGCGGCGCGGCGTGGAACCCACTGTGCCAGCAGACGTTCGGTTGGACGTTTCATATTTCAGTTTGCTAATTCCTGATTTTTATTTGAACCAGAGATTTCGCGAAAAGCAAATAGTTTACTGGAGAACATGATAGACCCTACATGAGTGACACATAATGATTATCTAGAAGTGATATATACAAAATTCTGTATGGATTCACTTGAAATAAATCTTGAAATAAATCGATAACGCGGCAAAATCGATGCGACCACTGAGATTTCTGTAGGGATGGTCGGGTTTTTTTCTAGAGGGAGGCGCAAAGAAAGTCCGAGGAGAATATTACTTTTGTAGATAATTCGTTTAGAACCCCAAACTGAAATTTCAAAAATTCAACCAATAAAACAGCACAAACCAATGTAATGAAACAAAACACAAAATTTAACACAGGAAAACACACGCAACAGAAAACAAATGCTCACAAAGCCGCACAAAACTAAAAAACATTCAGAAACAAAATGACAAACAAAACTGACGGTTTTCCTATTAATGAGAGATGCAACAGATATACCACTGCACAAGTCAGTGCCACAAGACACTCAAGGAGAGAACACAGTTTATTGTCACTATTCCAATAAAACAAACTTCTGAAATGCAAATCAACAGACTTTATCCACAAGGAAGCCATTTCGATCATGTTACCAGAAATTGTCCTACTCAATATTATCTGTCAAAAGGGATGGTGCCTGACTATTTTGAGTCGCACGTCATGTTTATTTTCTTCATTTTATCAGTTCATCTTACAATATTTAGATATAATATACCACAATTTTTCAATCGTTTATCAATGTCGATTGTATTCATTCGTAATGAGTGCTTCCATTTACATTCTCAAGCCCCCCCCCAAGTTAATCTCACTTTCAATTCAATATGACCGACTTGTGAATAGGCTCACTTAATGAAAGCAAACGATTTTGATATGGCTTAAGACAGATATTTTGACATTAATTGTTACAGGTTGACAAGCACCATTTTTAAAAATTCTAAACAACATTTATCCTCTTTCAGAAGTGTTAAGTGGAAAATTTATTGTAGAAAAGGGTTTAGAAAATCCAGTTCCTTTAATTTTTCCCCAGCATATTTCACATCTGTAAAATATCACAAATGTTGACACCAAAGTTGTACACGAGTCACATTAACCCCAACTCTAAAAGAAGCTTTCAACAGGAATTGTCCTGAATCCTTCAATATTTATTCCGTATTTTACAACCATCCGATGTGGCACAGCCAAGGCTTTTTTTTAGGGGGGTGGGGGGCAATTGTCTCCTTGTCCCTCCCCTGGGTTGCACCACGCCAACCTTCTCACAATATTGTGCACAAAGACAGTGAAACAAATTTCCCCAAATCGGGTTACGTTGTATTAAATAAAAAAGGGTTTTCTCAATTGTGTTTTTGTTCATTTTGCTGCAAAGTGGTTTGCAGTTGTGGATGTCAGTCCAACGTAGAGCTGAAGAGCGACGAGCCCCACACAGGATGTGTAGAAGAACTTAGCCAAGAGGAGAATCCAGGAACCCAGACCAACAGCATGGATGAGGATTCTAGAAGATTAATTAATGGAAAAAAGGAGTCGGAATTGAAAGCTGGTAATACTTAAAAAAGACTTAATCAAGATAAGGCAAATTAAAAACCCACACAGAAAACAATGTCAGTTTTTTTCAAAAGAGGAAAACATCCTTGATGGCATGATATTAAAAGTACAGTATCAAAGCAAAATTGTAACATTTCTTGGAAGTTCAGATATTTACAGTCTCTAAAGTTGCTACAATGACTAAATAACAAGGAAATCTTGGAATATTTCTATCTGTATAGCCACTATGTAATCTCAGATCAACTGGAATCTTTATTGCAGTTGAGGTCATCACAAGTCCATGCAATCTACTTTAAGTCCATCTCAAGATAACAAGTCATTCGGTCTTAAGTCAGGTACCCAGAACAATACGTGGCAAAGGGACCCCCTAATGTGGTGCACAGGCTCTATACATGATATACCCTTGGCTTCTGAACCTAGCAATTCCCAGTATTCCTTCACTACAAAAGAAGTCACAAGCTTTTCAAATGAACTGAGATAAAATCAACCCAGCATCAGGGTAATCCTGCAATTGTGACTGGAATTGTAATTGACCTGACAGCAACAACGCTGATTGAATCTTTTCAATTTGCTATTTTAGAAGGGGGGGTTGGGTGTTAATTTAATGGAAATTCTCTGCACATGATGCACTCTGCAACAAACATTACCTTGAGACAATATTCCTCCTGGATTAAACTATTGCAACCGAACTGTGCATAATTTGTGTGGTGATTACCTTGTAAAGTGGCAGATTTATTATAATTTTGAGAGACATGAAAAGCTTCAAATCAGCACCAAGTTAAAGTGTCTAAAAACAAGAACATTAATGAGCAGTGAATATCACCATTTCTGCTATCAGTACAATTTTGCTATGCAAGAAACAGGTCACCAACTACGATGCAAAGTCTGAATGAATCCAGTCTTAAGCTACATGTATGTCAATATCTAATGGCTTTGATTATACATGTATATAAAGCACAAGTCTACGGTAAAGTGGCTGTAGCCACTAGCCAATGACTCCCATTGGTAGAAGTGTAACTTCAAGCCATAGGAAAGTAATTTGGACATGGCTATGGAAGTGAACTTACTCCACAATGAGCGGTTTGTAGCAGCTAAGGAATAGAAGAATGATGACGATAGGTCGCAGGGATTTGTTGAGATCATGACGGCTCCACAGCCAGACTAAAACTGCTGTGGCTAGGTGCTGGACCTGGAACAAATGGGGATCAAGTAACCTCAACCTGGAAGCATTACATGTATTTGGTTACTCGATTTATGCATAAATTAATTGGTTACATTTTTCTTTTTGATTGACATTGTGATGTGAAAATACAGGCTTCTTTTCAGATGGCATATTTGGACCAAATCTTGTTAATCAAAATCTCAATACATTCTTCAAAATGTGTGGATGCCATGACGAAGGGATGTAACTGAAACGGCATTGTAGATTACATGAACAAATTGCCTTGTGGAAACCTGGACTATAAAATAAGGAAGGCATTAGAATACCACTAGTTTTGCAAAGCTGTACATGTAGTTGTTTGGAGAGTCGCAAATTGGCATATCATCATTTCTTGTATTTTTGACAGCATTCTCATACAGAATTGTGGTAAAACTGGGCATTCTAAGTCTTTGTCTCGTGAAAACAGTGCATCCAAAATTTAAAGAGGAAACTACATGGGACAGATCCATGGTTGTTAGATTCCTTACAATAACTTCCTTATTCCAACTTCCATTGGGTTTTCTCTGCTTATCTTGCTGAGAGCAGTAAAATTTAAAAACAGAAAGCTATGCAGCTTCCAAATTTGAACAAATAAAAATTCACCAGTAAGGGACAAAGAGTGCCATAATAGGACCTCTGCACACCAATTAAAAGAAGCCTCACCAAATTGACATTGGATTCAAGGCTCATCTGAATATACTTCCAGTCAAACTCTGTTCCTCTGGCCCCAAACCACAGAGGCAGCACGCGGGTGACGATCAGCTCTGCCGTTGCCCAACCGACTCCTGCCGTCATGAATCTCAGGTCACCCTTACCAGCCACGCTGGTCAGGATGAAGTAAAAACCCACCAGGTCACCCAGGTCAACGGTTGATTTCATAAATTCCTGGCACAAAAGGAATTCAAAAAGCTTCTGGTCTGATAATGAACTAAACAGTGAAGTCTGCTGCAGGTGAAAAAGGCTTGATAAGGTGCTGTAACGTGTTTCTCAGGTTTTCTTGGTATCGACAAACCTGAGAAACACGTTTTATGCCCTAAAGAATGAACTGCCATTTTAAAAAAAGTTGCCACTGGTTTTTCTGTAAATTTAATACAGAAAGTATGGGTATTTAAGAAGATTTCTTGCAAAAATACAAAGGGAGTGAGTAGAGAGTCAAGTCACAGTCAAACTGTCAGTCGGACCTACCTGACAAAAAGCTAGTGCAGTCAGACAAAACGTCCCAAGGAAACATGAAGAAAAAAGTCCTAGATGATAAATTCTTGAGTTACATGTAACTTTGATGAATGTACATGTACACATATGGAACAATCTATCAACAACAAACAAATAAAACAATAACAAAACCAAAATACCACAAGAATTGGCAACTCTTACACCGATGATATCCAGGTGTCCTGTTGTGCCGTCAGATGTAGGGAAGAAAGTGGCTAAAATCAACATCTGAAAACAAACCAAAAGCTGAACTTGACTGTGCTTTCAGAAGGTATAATGGTGTAAAGACAGGTCTTTCTCCTTTCTGCAATCCTCAACGTACATTCTGGGGTTTGTGATTTGAAAGTCCTTGTCCAGGCTAATGGAAAATGCCTCAAATGGCTCAGCATGCCTGTACATGTACATGTACCTACCTCAAACACATGCAACAAAAAGGAATTTTGTATCTGCAAAGATACAATTACAATGTCAACTAATTTTTCTCAGACATGTCGGAACTCCACTAACAAATACATCCACACGGCTTAGGCAAAAGTGTGATAATTTGAATTTGGAGATATTAAACTTACCTTGCATAGCTGTGTAAACAGGTAGATGGCTCCAGCTTGAACACATTTCCAAAAAGCACTGTATTCTGATCTGCAATGTTAAAAGTGGTGAAACAAAGTTAAGCCACTTCAAAAGTCATTTTCAACTTAAAATATTTCTAATTCTTAGTTTGTGAAGCGATTTCATGTAGAAACTGTGCAACTGTCATTGGGCATGCCAACAACCATGATTCATTACGGTCAAAATATATATTTTTGTTCTCAGACAACATTGGTGCTTGGCGATGTCATGTTTGTTTGTACACAGGCCATGCACAATTAAGCGACGTCCCTAGTTTCTGCTTATGTCGCTTGTTCAAGTGGCAATGACATCATTTTTATCAGGTCACGTCACAATGATGTAATTTTCCCGTGATATTTTAGGAAAATAAAGAGATTTGAAATGCCGGCAGCCAATATTGCTGCTGTGTCGTTACTGCTGAGTCAACGGCAAAATTATTTCTGATCGTTATTTTAGAAAATCTCTACTGAAATCAATAAATTTGCCACAGTGAATCGATTGAGATTTTTGACGGCAACATTTTTATGCACAAAGTAAACTTTTAGCAAAGTTTTATTTTTTCGCATAAACATTTTCATCGGTTGAGTTGGACTTGCCTTCCCACCAAATTCAACACATCCAGTACAAGATTTCAAGAGTACAAAAATTCTCTTCGATCCGCTTTAAGAAATACATGTACAAAATGAAAGGAAAATTTCATTTAGATCTGGGGTAGCATGTTTCTACCCCCAGAACTGTGGGGACCGACATCCGTTCCTCTCCCACGGGGAGGGGACGTCGGACCCCACAGTTCTGAGGGTAGCATGTTTCCTGTAAATTTTATTTATCAGAGCAATTTGTATTGAACTTTTTGGACGATAAAGAGATCGATGTCATCTGTGAACCGTGATCTCGAAATAGTTTAAAAACTACGTCTTCATTGCAAAATCAAGCGGCGCATGTATAATCTGGTGTCGTCGCTAGATTGTGGCTTGGTTCCTGACCTGATGCATGCCATTCTAGATCATGTTTTGGCCTACATTCAGAACATTTGTCAACACATTCTTCAATGAATGAATCATGGTTTTTGCAAAGTGAATTAACATGTAAGTCTGAATGTTGACCAAACTTAAGCATGCTGAAGTTTAAAAATGAGAAAATTTTAATTTTTGCAAAATATCACATATCAGAGTTTACACAGAAAAATGAAAGACGCCCCCTGTTGACCAACTCGTATATTTCATGCCAGGACCGGTTGCCTCTTGCACAATTCGCACAAAAGTATTTGTAAATCGTATCATAGGCCTAACACTTTGACTGAGAATTTGAAACTTACAGTCCAGAATACTTGTATGTGATGAAGTAGGGGATATATGCCAAAGCCACACAATTTCCAAAGTGAAAGAGCGTCATTTTATTTTACGCCGCCTGATTCCCTCGCAAAATGTGAACGTGGTCAATTTGCAATTAACTTGACTACAGATATGAGGATCTAGACCGAAGATTCGGTCGTTATCTCGGAGAAAATTAGTCTGGCGCACATCCTGAGCCACTTCTCCTGTATCAAATTATAATAGAAGAGCACCAGTCTATTATTTCGCTCCAGATAATGGAAATAATAGTCTAGTCCCTAAACCTATTTTGATCTTGGTCATTTCCTTTGATCATGCTGATGCGGGTACCCTCATCAGTCATAGTGACCTTGTCGAGCAGCTGTGTTTGAGCCTAAATTGGTGGTGAATAGCCGTAACAATGTAAAATATTTTAACTAAACTAAAATTTGGGGAGATGTTACTGTGGAAAAACGGTGAATTTGGATTAGGCCTACACTTACTTAAGCTAGGCTTATTTTATTTTCATTAACCCTTTTTAGATCATATGCCATGTATGATGTACATGTATGTAGGCCTAACGAAGATGCATGTACATTCATGACACAGTTGTCCTATGAGTCAAAATCTGTCAAATTTCACATAAGTGTCTGTGTACTGGGGCAAATCAAGTAGAAGGAATTTTTACTGTTTTTGACAGTTACAGTAGACATGGTAGAAGGAGGGTTAATCATACTCAGTGTTACACAGTGGCTGTTGTTATGGCAGCCATAACACATCTCCCATTTTCTATTGTTGCGACACTGCAACTGTGCAAGCGCGCCAACTTCAGTGGAGATTTCGGACTTTATTTTTCTTTTAACAAAAATTCCTCCAAAGCCTCCGATGAGAAAAGAAAAAAGATTCCTGCTTAGGCCTATACAATTAGAAACCAACATGAAAAAAAACAATTATGGTATAAAACATGAAATTTAGGCAAAAAAAATGAAATAGTCCAAGCGCGGATTTGAACTCACATTCAAACCTTCCACCTTAACCACTCAGCATACAGCGATCCAGGTAATTAAAAATACATAAACCGTCGTGATGATCAGCTGCGTTATCGCACTTGTGCAGTTCAGTGCTGTAATGATAGAAAAGGAGAAATGCATTACGACTGCTGTAACGATAGTCACTTTGTTATTGTTAAGCTGCTCACTGCATTTTAAGCCAATTTCCATTCCATCACTATGTTGATTTTAGGGACCCTGCACTAGGAAGTGAATAAAGCTAGAAGCAGAGAGGGGAACAAATTGTCTACCATAGTAACAATTGCGAGTATCCATTCGTCAAACGTTATCATGGGTGACATGGCTATATCATGTATATGCAACGTTCTTGTCACAAATTTGTTCCCCTCAGGTAAATCATCTGAGCATGCGCACATGAAACGTGAAAAAGGCTTAGGCCTATTGTGCACTTGCTATGTTGATCAGTCATGCCTGTTAATTGAAAACAGTCAAAGGTCAAGAAGTGTGTTTTAATTTACCAGTGTTAAGACCCAAGCTCTCAACTTATTGAGATCGATTCATGAGTGCTATATGCATAGACCTAATCATTGTAATGTAAATGATACCAGCGGAATGAGGTCAACTGGCCCCCTGACCGACTTGCCCCTTCTTGCCCCCTGCCAAGCTGTCGCCTAGCCGAGTTGCCCTTTTGCAGATTCTTCCCTTGGCAAACTCACCTCCTGACCAAGCTGCCCCCTCAGCAGGCAGTCTACTAGTTTGGACAATTAACTACATAGTTTCAAAATGATGATAAGTGTTCTGGCAGAAGGGAAAATTTGCAGGTCGAGGTCTTTGTGCCAGACAATGCACTCTGATGGCAACCACAAAATATAAACTAAGCACGGCAAGAGGGTGAGATGTGAAGGGGCAAGTCGCTCGGTTGGGGAGTGAGTTGACAAAAGGGTGAGATGTGAAGGGGCAAATTGCTCGGTTGGGGGGTGAGTTGGCAAAAGGGTGAGATGTGAAAGGGCAAGTCGCTCGGTTGGGGAGTGAGTTGACAAAAGGGTGAGATGTGAAGGGGCAAATTGCTCGGTTGGGGGGTGAGTTGGCAAAAGGGTGAGATGTGATGGGGCAAGTCGCTTGGTTGGGGAGTGAGTTGGTAAGGGGATGAGTCGGCCAGAGGGCAATGCCCTACCATCGTATCAGTAATGCTTGTCATGCTTGTGCATATTGTTAAGTAATAACTGGGTACCGTTGCAGCTTTTATTTTTTTCATGTAATGCACGTTAAATCAAAGATTTGTAATCATATCAGACTTGTCAGAAAGATATTTGTTGGTTGCAATTGGGTTTTCACTGTTACGACACATATACAGTGTACATGCACTGTAGCATCAGTTGCAACTATACATGTAGACTATTTGGGACGGCATCGCAATTATAGTTGCTAGAGTTGGGCGGTCACTTCAGCACAGAGGTCCAATGTGTGCACCTGCCGTAGCAAAAAATAAGATTTTATTTAGCCTACGGTATGTCGTAGAAGAAGTGGCATATTTTTGAGGGATGTTTGATGTGAGCTGCATGAATGTGGGAAGCTTCAGAAATTTTGCGTAGAAATTTGCACACAATAGTTGGGCCAACCCAACTGCAGCGCTGTATTTGGGACTGTCTCATCTATAGTTGGGACAGACACAATAGTTTGAGTGTGACATCTCTTTAGTTTTTTATTTATAAGACATGTATATCTTTTTCTTTGTAGAATGGCTACTCAAGATGATCTGGCCAGCAGCAATCCTGACGCTAATGTAAGGCAAGACAAGGATTTAGTCGAATCAGCCATGACCCGTCAGCTGTCTGTATCACTTGGGCGACGGATCAGTCTTGATGACCTCAATGAGAACTCACACAATGAAACGGTGGCGGTAGACAGCCCACAGAATGGCGAGGTTGATGTTGTCACTGTGGATAACTCACCTGGAGAGGGCGCACCTCTGACTGGCCGGAAAATCCTCCCGGTGTCTCCTGGTAATTAAGGACCACTCAAATAAAAGATACGTTTTGAAATATGGCTGAGTTCGAGCGGCTTGTTCTCGTATGTTCACGAATCGCTCGATTTAATGTTCGTTAGTCGGCCGCCCTAACACCGGGAACGTACAACCGATTATCGCTGGTTGTTGCATGCAACATAGCAGCATCCATGTACGTTCTTTCAGAGTGAACTTTGGAAAGCTGGGATGAATTCTTTTCTGTTTAAAAAGGAACATTCATTTCTTTGCTGTAGAAAATGATTATTGTTTATTTTGTAAAATTTCCCATTGTCTCCGGCTTTGTGAACCATCTCGATATTTTTGACAGCTGTTCAAAAATCAAAATCTCACGAGTTTTTCTGTGTGTTCCTGTAAAACCCTGACGAGGAGGTGGTGTGTGATCCTGTTTGGGGAACAGTGTTCTTGAGTCGTGTTCCTGCCGTTCGAGCGTTGAGAACAAGAAACCCGTGTCAAGAACAGGCCGCCCGAACTCGACCATGGAGTTGTTAGAGCATGGGTTACGGACAGCTTGTATCATGTTGAGGCGAGGCGGTTAAAAACAATTTGTGAATACCTGAGACTGTTTAGCCATTCCTATTGGTCAAGAGCCTGTCATGTGACCAGTCTTACACCGTTGGTAAGGCATCGGCTGTGTGCTACGTGTACCTTGCACAGTACTTGTCACATGACACCATTCTTCATATAAGGAGATTGTTAACCACTCATGAAAGAAACTCATACCACAACATGGCTGAAGTAAAACTATTGAGAAAAGATTTTTACTTCTTTGAATTTGTGTTGTGTCTGTAACTCAATAGGTATTTATGGGAATGGAAATTAATATGTGCTTTGCTGGTCTTAAACGGTTATCTGGATCAGGAGAATGAACGCTAACAAAACCTGATCCGAAGACAAGGGACAGTATCAGCACCCATTCTCCTGAGCCAGTCTTTAATGAATGGTTAAGGCTGGCCAAGCATATCGTGTGTTCAATCTCTCCTTAATGTCGCTTGTGTTAAAAGCAAATTCATTTATCCGTCCAGAAATGGCCAGACCTGCTCCCAAGCACAAGAGAGCGTCTTCTCCAGCAAGGCAACATTCTCCAGCGTCTGCTTCTAGGAGTCCGAGAGCCAACTGGCCCAGCCCACGGAGTAGTCAATCCTCACCGGGTCGAGCAGATGCTCCAACAGGCAACAAGAACAGGCGTTTTGAAGCCTGCATTCTCAACAAAGCTAAAGTGTGGCTGCCGATTGAACTTATTGAGCAGGTAAATATCCTAGCCTGTGGTAGTGGACAAGTGACTAGGAAACTGCTCACAGTAGGTAAAATTTCATATGGAACAGCTATGTGGAAAAGACTGCTTACCAAATTCTTGTGCAAAGAAAAATCAGGTGACAAGTAGTTGCCGGTAGTATACATGTAGATCCTGGGACATTTCTGCTGGTAATTTGAGTTTGCTAAGCAAGTTGTGTGCATAGTTAGTAACTTTTGTGACATTAATACTAGATTAAATTGGCCTCAGCAGGAGAAGAAAATCAGGTCCAGAGGGAAGTGGGGAAATGTAATTGATTCAACAAACATCTTTTTGGAAACGTCTTACAGGGACCAATGTCAGGAGAGAATTGTTAGGAACATGTTACCGGCCAACAGGTCTTGAGCTGGTGATGGACGTGCTGGGGGGTATGATCCCCTACTTTGTGCAGGTCCTGCTGAGGGGTGAATTTGCCTATCAATGGCTGATGCCTGATGGTCTCCTCTCCTCCTACTTTGAAAATCGTTCCTCTGCCGTAGCTAAATTCCAGGCAATTTTTCCTGAACAAAAAGATTTCCCTCTACAAGTACAAGGTTTTTCCAACCAGAATTTTGACTAGTGCCGTGAAATGAGACCCAATGAGTTTGTTCAATATTTGAATGAAAGGAACAATCCTTCAAAAGCAAAGCCCCTAATGTCATGTCATTTCAAACCTACGGTATTTTGTGGGTGTGGTCGGTTGATGTGCAGCCTTGCTAATGGGGCCAGCCTCCTGAATGTGTATAGATGCTCTCGAATGACCTATAGCACACCTCATCTTGAGCATGCTCTGTTGAAATACTGAATTGGCTCACTGAGAATAACTGATTCAGAAAGGTGCATGGAATTCCTGTGATAACACAAGTCTGTATTCTGTATTTGCTCTGTGTTTTGGCAGTAGAGGGCACCACACACTACCTTGTTACCAATGGTTCTGCTAAGTTCACAAGAAAATGCTTTTCCCCTGTTTTAAGCCCGTTATCTTTTCTTGTCTTTTTTTTAGCCCAAGATATTTCATGAGGTGGTCAGCCTGGAGACATGGAACAATGTCCTAACTGATGAAGACAGAGAACGTTTGTCCAAAATGCTGCCAGATTTTCCAGAATCTGACAGCCAGGAGAAGATGGAAACACTGAGGTGAGTGTCATTTAGAGTCTGAGTGAGATGATGATGGAAGGGAAATAGATGTTGATGAGAAATGAATCGCATCTGCTAGCTTTCATATTCACATGATATGAGTGTCGGTTGTTGCTGAGTCATGACCATTCAAAATAGAGGAGCATTCCACACTATTTCTGTTCTGGTATGATTTTTTCTGTCCATGTTTCCTTTAATTGTAATTTGCTGTCTGTAATGAGTCGATTAATTCAAGGTGTAGGGACAAATTTTGTGTTATAAATACGTAGGCCTCCATACCAATGACATTACGCTTTGTTTGTGTGCTTTGGCATGGAAGCCATGATGAATTTGGAGCTCGATTAGAAAGCTTAAAGTGTACATGTAAACAAAGTGTGATGTCATCAGTTCATGTATAGGCCTGTTCTTAATAGGTCAGTCTGTTAGTTCACATTTCAATTTATTAATTCATTCCATTAACCCCTTTGCGCTGGGACGCGGCTAGAGCCGCCGAAAAAATTGAGATCCTCAGCCCACTTTTCAGCTATTATTCTCGTCCCACACTCGAGCGAACACGGTGAAAGAAGGCAGACCCTGGCTCTTGTATATATGGTAATTGGTCTTTGTGTGTAGCCCAGAAATGAAAAGACTGAATTTGCATCATAATCACCAGTTTCACAATAGTCCTCACTTTGAAAAGAGGCAACGGGAATGTGGAAAGGTGAGTAGAGCTACATGCCACCGAACAATCAGCCTTTTCACCGTGTAATTCAAAGCGTGCAGAGCATGCAGGGCCACAAACCGAGAATTTGCGGTTTGGCAGGTGGCCTTCATGGCCAAGCGAGGCTGGAATTTTTGGAGTCGGCTTTCGGAAAGAAATTCCCGTTGTCAAGGGGTTAAGGACTCCTTGCAAGGAAGCTGTGTTACCTACTGATATCAATGATCTCCCACTTGGTTGGCACAGCACATGTGCATACTTGGGCATGGTCTACGATCTCATAGACCACAGATAACGAATGGGACAAAGGATGTTTTTGCAGTCCTCAATAGTCGGTCTCTATCTTGTCCTGTGTGATAAGTGCCTTGGCTAGTGCCCTAGGAGAGTATTATAAAACGCATTGCTCACCTCCATGGTATGGTGACCTTGCATATGAATATATATGTATGCATTGCGGCTAAATAACAGTGCACACCTTGAGTGATACATAACATCATCTGTGGCATTTGACTGTCACTTGGTGTCATCTGCCAGCGAGCAAGTTTCAAGCCATAATAAAGCGTGTCCAAGGTAATTCAGACGTGTGTGTGGTCAGCCCTTTCAGTGCAGCCTGCGTGGACTCACGCGAATGATCTTTCTTTAAGTACCAAGCTGGCTCTTTGTCTGCCATGTGACATTCGAAATCCCTGTTTTGTCACAGAAAGGGGAACTGGTACAGGTGTACGAAATGACATGTCCTTTTTGCACTTCTCTAACCTGCACTGACACTCTCTGCCTATCAACAGGCGGTTGTTTGCTGGGGAGAACTTCAAGTTTGGCAGTCCGGTAAAAAAGCTCCAGAAGGACCTGAGGGCTGGCTACCTGTACCTGGAGGTCTTCAAACACAAGAGGGCGCTGCGGCAGGCTAAGTACCGAGAGTACAAGCATCAGCAAGAGCTGCGATGTCATCGGATGTTGAAGGAGGTGCTGATATCCAGGCAGGTGCGTGTAGGTGGGGAAAAAAACCACTAACAAACACAAGATGGTGATGTTAGAATCAAGCATTCATGTTGCAACCTTGCAAAAGTTGAACACATTCCTACATTGTCCATGCAAATATTTTGTCATGGTAAACTCACTTCAGTTTTGTTTTTCCCTGAAGTATGAACTGTCGACCAAGATATTGTCGAGGGTTTTGATTGGTTGAGCACGTTTTGCATCCTTAGTTTCATGCATTTTATTTACAGTGGAGCATGTGCCATGTATTTACAAAAAATCTGTGTTCTCTTCAAATTGGCTTCCCATTTACTAAAGCAAACCAGCTTATCAATTATTTATGAAACTATCAATACACACAGTGTTATATTAAGTTTTAATTCTAAAGGTATGTAAAATTAAGGGAGAAAGGAAGATTTGTTTCAATGCCTCAGAAAAGATAAAGGGTTTGATTTTCTTGGTCCTGAAATCTTACTTTGAATGCAGGAGCTGCTTGAAGCTGCACAATTCACTGCACCTGATGAGCCATTTAAGGTCAAGCGCCCACGACCTATGACCGTTCAGAAAGACCTGGATGAGATAGTTACTAAGAAATACAGAAAGTGAGTTGTTTGTCCATCTGTTAAATTATTTCTGATACCAAAAAGGTCAGGGAATTCATGATGCCACTCATGCATTTGGACAATTAGTTTAGTTTGGGACACCCCCAATGCGGTTATGGGTCTCCTATACCCCTGGCTACCTCACCCCACCCCAACCACTGCCCAACTGACAGGCCTCACTGACTGCTGGACTCCGTCCCGCATGAGCGCCCAGCTGAATCCACCACTAGCGTCCTCGTCACACCCCACTGCATCCAGTCACCTTATATAAATAGGTCCATCATAAGCATCTCTTCAGTTGAAATATGGAGTATACTCCTGGTTCTTTTCAGAACCACACATACTCACAAGAGATATACATGTATACCTTCGCATGGTGCTACCGTAAGCCTTTCCATCTATTGCTGTCTTTCACCATGAATAGCCTGAAATTCCATCAAAAATTTCTTTGTTGAAACCTTGTTTTTTCCAACAACGAGATGTAAAGTTTGTACAGAGTGGTTTTTTTCTAAGGACACTATAAGCACTTCATGTATAGTGCTTTAAACATATTCATGCATAAGTCCCATTTACTATACGGTTGAATTATGGGTGAATTTTCCAACTTTTACTTTATTTAGTTAAACACACTCTGTACAATTTCGCACATGAAAGTTGACCCTACTGTGAAAAATGGAATGAAAGGTGAAAATATTCCATCACAGCTTGTGGCTGGTTTAACATGTTGGGGTTATTAAGGTACATGTAGTTGGATCTATCTCAGAGCCAACCCCTGAAAGGCCCATTCTTACAGGTATTAAAATGAAAATACAGTGCATTTATAAGCAAATGTCACATGTTCGAGTCTCCCCCATTCTAGCCATGAGCTTGTGAGTTTTCTTGTTACAAGCTCTTTACACAAATCCTTGATAAGATAGGATGGGTGTGTGTATTGGTAGAGTTGGCCTCATATTGAATGTTCCACAAGATGTACACTGCCAATAAACTAAATCCCAATATTATTTTTGGTTTGACTCTTTAGGATTTTGAAGGAATGCAGGATAGAATGCGGGGTAAGTATTCTGAAAAGACTTTATGCTCCAACCTGAATATGAATAACAAAGCTGTTTGCTTTATTATTTCATTTTGAAAGTTTTCAGTGCAGTTCTTGTACGTAAAATTTCTAACGTTGTCATTGTATGAGCAATACATGTTCATAATTTGAGCACATAATTGTCGATATGTTAACTTTGTTGTTAGGAATTGTACACCAGCGATGAAGATGATGATGTATTCATAGCTAAAGGTAAGTTCAAAGAAGCCAGCTTTTTTTTTAGTTCGACTTTATTTCATATTTGTTGGATTTCAGTATGAAGTGACCTCTTCACTGGTCACTGATTCCATGCACAATGTTGAAGTGACCTCTTCACTGGTCACTGATTCCATGCACAATGCTTAAATAAGACAGATTGTTTTTCCAAACAGCCATTTTCCCAGGGTGACACATTGTGCATGATACAGGAACCTTATCTCTGCAAGTCCACCACAGAAGATACAATTACTTTGGCAAATCTGTAGTGTCTATGTTTAGGCATCGGTCACTTGGCCTTAATGGCATTATACATGGTAGGTGTCTGCCTGACGTCTCGATTAGTTGCTACCAAGGAGGAGCGAGTGTATAGAGCAGGTGTCATACCAATAACATGTACCACATATCCCAAGACACATCACAATGCACCTCATGGGGTAGCCATTTCAAATTGTGCTCCCCTGAATCAATTTTATTTAATGCATTCTGTTCCAAAGGGGTGGGGTTGGACTTCTTCACATGTAGGTTCCATGCCTCAAATTCATATTTGAATTAAATTAATGTGGCTCCAAACACTAAGATATCATCATTAACCCTCCTATGCTGAAGTCACTCTTTGGGTCACTTGGTAAACACCTCAAAGAAGCACAGCTGTGTTGTGTTGTGCACTGCACCAACAGTCCCTCACAGGAATATCAGATTGTACTTTT